CTCAGCAGGGGTTTTCAGGCCTTTCTTATTCAAGCCTCTGTTACACAAGGCTTTGGTTACTGTACAGCTAAGCCCTGAGGAGGTGGCCCCAGAACCATAAGGTACCACATTTGGCCACACTGATTCGTTGTTCTCCAAGCCAGTGGTGCAAATGGAGGTCCTCCCCTCCCCACTGATTTTCCTTGATCTAGTGAAGGAACAGTGCACCTCTCCAGGGGCGGGGCCTTGCCTGTCTGCTCATGACAGACAATTCTATAATGTGGGCCTGTCCCTGGCCAATGCCCGGCTGGTACCTTTGGTGGATACTTCGGTGGTGGCATTGTTTCTTCCTCGGGCACCCCCATCGAACCAGAGGATGTGCTCAAGGCAGAGGACAAATGGTTTGAGCAAACCCTCAAGCGCATTCATCAGGCAGCAGCTTGGGTGATTAGAGCATCAATGGCAGCCTTGTTTTTTACAAGATCTTCACTACGCTGTTTTCACCAGCTTCAGGAGAGACTCCCAGCCACCGAATTGAAGCACACCAACATCTCAATAAGATAATTGCGGTGGCAGAGTTTACGGCAGACACCACTCTGAGCTCGGCCAAGTTCGCTTCCAGGGCCATGGCTTCTTCAGTGGCGGCCAGGCAGCTACTTTGGCTACGCAACTGGCAATCCGACTCCCACCGTACATGGAAGTTGGCATCGGCTCCATGCATGGGCGATAAGCTATTTGGCGACGTCCTTGAACCATACTTGACAGAGACCAAGGACAAGAGGAAGGTCCTCTCTTCAGCAGGGAAAAGGTCCGAGTATCGCCCCGGGCCATACTTTTGCCCCTCATCTTTCAGACCCAAAACCAGCTCTTGGTTCTCTAGAGGTCAGAGGTCCTTTCCTGCTTGCCAAGAACAGTGTCCTGAAGCTTCCAGCAGGCAGCAACAGCCCCCCAGTAAACAGCCCTTTTGAGGGGGAGGAGGTTGTTCATTCAAACGCTCGAAATGGGTGCCTCATATCCCCCCCATCGGAGGCCGTTTGGCTTTTTTCGCCTCCAGATGGGAGGAGTCTACATTGGATGCCTGGGTTCTTGAGATGGTCAGGTCGGGCCTCCAACTGGAGTTTTTCTCCCCACCTCCATGATGGTTTGTTCGCTGCCCCACCTCCAGGGACTGATCTAAATGGGCCCTTACAGAATCGGCAATCCAACATCTCGTGACCTCCTCTCCTCCATAGACCTCATGGAGGCTTATCTCCACATTCCTATCTGGCCTCATCATCGCCAGTTTCTCCATTTTTGTTATCAGAACAACCATTTCCATTATCAGGCTTTACCCTTTGGTCTCTTGTCGGCCCCAAGAGTCTTCATGAAAGTCCTGGCAGCTTTGGAAGCTTCGCTTCATACCATACCAGTGAGGGTCCAGTGCTACCTGGACGACATACTCATCCAATCATAGTCGACCCACTCGGCCCATCGCGACCTTCACATCACATTGCAGAGCCTAAGAGACCACGGGTTCTTGACCAACCTAAGGAAAAATCACCTTTCCCCGCCGACCAGGTTGCTTCACCTCGGGGTGGTTATAGATGCGTCACTTTGCGAGGTGTTCCTCTCCCCGGACCGAGGGGAGACCCTTCACAGTGGTGTCAGTCAGATTCAGTGTCAGAGCACTGTCCTGTTGTCTCTACTGTCCCAGATCCTGGGAAAGATGATCTCCTGCATTGGGATCATCCCGTGGGCCCGTCTCCATTCCCAGGAACTCCAATAGTTCTTGCTCCCCTTTCAATGCGCAGGAACCAGCCATTCTATCATAAGGGTACAAGTTCCTTCTCAGGTCCTTCGCTCCTTTGCATGGTGGCAGTCTCAGGCTCTAGAGAGGGGTTTTCCCTTCAAGGAGCCAGACAGGATCTGGCTCATCACAGATGCCGGTCTCCATGGCTGGGGAACCCATCTGGAGGGGGAACTAGCCCAGGAGTGTTGGTCACAGTCAGAAAGGACATGCCCCATAAATTGTCTGGAACTCAGGGCTATTTTCTTAGCCCTGAAACACTTCCGGAACAGGGTGGCTGCTCACCATGTGTTAGTCATGACGGACAATGTGGCCGCAAAGGCCCATGTCAACAGGCAAGGGGGGCCCAGGTCCAGGTCCTTGATGAGAAAGGCAGAGCACCTGGGGAGGTGGGCGGAGAGACACCTCCTTTCAATCAGGGTGGACCATATATCGGGAGTCGACAATGTCCAGGCCAACTGGTTGAGTTGGTCCGCAGTAGACCAGTCAGAGTGGAGTCTATACCCCTCTCTGTTTCAGGACTTGTTATGCCGATTTGATCCTCCAACCGTAGACCCCCCCAGAATGCCCAATTGGGCAGGTTCTTCACCAGGTTTCCGACCCAGGGAGCAGAGGGGACCAATGCACTTTGGAGTGCCTGACCTCTGAATCTCCTCTACACCTTTCCTCCTCTTCCAATTATTCCGGTTGTAATTCAGAAGTTGTTGGAGGAAAAGGCAGAGCTAGTTCTCCTGGCGCCCCAGTGGCCCAGGAGACTCTGGTTTGGAGATTTGGTGAACCTGTCTGTGGCCCAGCCATGGAAGATTCCAACATCCAAGATCTCCCTGCATCAGGGGTCATTAGTTCACCCAAACCCCCAGTGGTTCAGCTTAACCATTTGGCGCTTGAGCAGCAATCTATGAAGGCTTCCAACTTTCCTGAAAAGGTAATTGACACCATTCAAGCTCTCTCCCCTGTTCTATCCTGGGAGGGATATGCTTCTCATCACCCTTTGGTGCACAGATTCCTAATGGGGGCATACAACCTTAGTCCCCCTGTTGTACATAGGCTTCCCATTTGGGATTTACCTAAAGTGTTACAAGCTCTAACGAGGCCCCCTTTTGAGCCCCTCAGATCTGTATCTCTACAAATATTGTCCCTCAGGGCACAATTTTTAGTGGCTTTTACCTCGGGCGGGAGAGTGTCGGAATTAGCAGCACTCTCGGTATGACAGGACCTGTGTCTTTTCCATCAGAGCAGGGTAGTTCTTAGGTTAGACCCCACGTTTGTCCCTAAGATAAACACATGGTTTCACCGGGTGCAAGATGTTGTGTTGCTAGACTTTTGCCCCAGACCACAACATGAATTGGAACACAGGTGGCATACGTTGGATGTGAGGCGGGCCCTTCGGATTTACATCAAATGGATGGTGGCCTTTCGAAAATCTGAAGCCATGTTTGTGTCATTCCATCCCTCTACCCTGGGGAACAAGGTGACTGCATTGACAATTGGTAGGTGGATTAGAGCTTGTATATCCAAGGCGTACCAAACTTTGTCCATGCCAGTTCCCAGACACGTCACGGCCCACTCCACTAGGACTGCAGCTACTTCAGTCGCCTGGTCTACTCAGGCGTCACTAGAGGAGATCTGCAGAATGGCTACCTGGGCTTCGCCTTTGCCATTTGTACGGCATTATCTCCTGAATTCATTTGCTTCAGCCCAGGCATTGTTTGGTCAGAGAGTGCTTCAACAGGTGGTTCCTCAGTCGGAGTGACTGGACCAGACGTTGGCCCTCCCATGGACATGCAGGCTTTGGTATGTCCCATTCCTGAACCCTCGAAGCAGTGTATAGGAGAACGGGCGTTGGTATAATTACCTGAGAAAGCCCTTTCTGTCTATGCTGCAAGAGAGTCCAACCCTACCCTATACATCTGGCTATGATGGTTGGGGAGGGGTGAGATTAATTTCTTCTTTATCTTCCAGAGACACATTACGTCTGTCAAGTATCCTCGCCTAAAAGATGGGCAGGCCTGCCAGAGGCTGGCTTTTTATAGTGGCAGACTCAGCTCTATGATGTCAGAAGGAGGAGCTTAACCCATTCCATTCCTGGACTCTCTTGCAGCGTAGATAGAAAGGGTGTTCTCAGGTAATTATACCAACGCCCAGTCTCTTTAGGATTTGCTCTAAAATTTGCTCAGAAGTTGATGTCAGATTGATTAAATTTTAGTTTCTCAGAATGAAGGAAAACACTCCTCCTCAGATTATCTGCTACTTTACCTTTTTTCATAATTTAAAAAATATAATTAATAATGATTCTGTTAGACCATGATTTATTTCCTTTAGTATCCTATGATGGAATTTGATGAACCTAGAGATTTAAACTCATTCAAAATAAACAGATATTAATTATGAAACTTAAGTTTCACTTCTGCCCTTTCACAACTGACTGATGTACCTTGTGCTTGGAAAAACTGGACCAAAATAGGAATTTTACAGAATTTCTTTGTAATCTATTATCATTGTCATATCTTCATGGAACAACTGGTATACTAGTTTCACACATGGTTTCTCCATTATGTTTTTCTTTTGGTAAAATAAATGATGACATGGTATAATATGTATTGTTGTTCATCTGAGATTGTACCTACTTTTAAAAACTGCTAAAGACCAGATGATTTTTACTATATCCTGACATATAAAAACCATAAATCTCAAAGGGGTGTACTTTATTTTTCAGATTATTGTATATTTGCTATATCTTATTTTATATTCCCTTAAAATCAAGTACTTACTTTCCCCATCATTTTTAACACATGATTGTAGAATGCATTTACATTTCTCAGCTTAGATCATTCCATAAGTTTTGGACTACATCTTCTGTCATCCCACATGATTAGTTAAGATGCCATAATGCAGGCAGTTAGAGAAATCCAAATTTGGAAAAATTGATTTATACCATCTGGCACAATTGGTAGAACTATAAAATATAAGCACTCCCAGCTTCACAAACAATGAATGAATAGTAAAGAGGCTCAGTGCAGAATAGTACAAGATTTCTATAGTTTCAATAGTTCTATGAGGAAATTATCATATAAGCACTAACCAAAATGTCCTATTTTGCATCTGACAACCCTGCTTTTCACAGGTGTCTTAATTGTATTTTCAAATGTTTGTCATCCTTTGTACAACTTATTTGGAAATAAACAACACTGAAACACTGAATTATATTTTAATTTGTTCTTCTGTTTCTTCACAGGATTGATAGCTGCTTGATATTTCAGAATGCCTCTGGTAAAAAGAAACATAGACCCTAGATATCTTTGCCATA